TTTAAAATTAATTTATCGCTTATCGCGTTTGCATGCACAACAACAACTGCCTGCCTATCTTATTGCAAATAAGACGACTTACTCAAGTGCTTAAAAGTTGCGATAGATGTGAAGCACGCGACTAGTTACATACATATCTACAAAGGCAAACGCGCAACTACACACATAAATATATATTTACATATGTACATACATATATATAAAAGTAGTTCAGTGCAGACGTTTTTAATGCAAATAAACATACATACATACATACATGCATACAAATATCTACACCTTTGTGCTCCACTCAACCAAGTCAACCCCCAGGACCTACCCGATTCAGGAATTTTTTTTACCACTGAACCGAAGATGTGGCAATCAGTGATGAAGCGCTAGCAAGTAGCTCTAAATACAAGCATTCAACATACATATATACATTTATATGCACATCTATTTATTTGCCTACGTTTGCCTCATGTTAAGAGAGTGTGGCCCCCAAGTGTGGTGAGTTTGCATTAAAGAGCGCATGCCTGCTCTGCGCAACTTAGCGCCGTCAAATATAAAAGAAGTATGGCAAAAGCAGCTAAAAACAAGCAATAAAATGTTAATATAAAAACGTAAAGCTTGTAAATAAGGCGCCACACACTGGGCAAATGTGGGAATTCATAAACCGGACGACCGAGCGAGCGTTCAATAAGCGCCTAAGCGCTGGCTCACAAGCCAATATGTTTTCCGCTCTACAGCGCAAACTGCTGCTGCTGGTCGCACTATATACATGCACAGGTACATATTAGGTTGTAAAAAAAGTCTTGCGGTATTTTTATTGAATTTTCAATTGTTCATAAATTTTTTTTTGATGACTCATGCCCAGCTCTTGACCGATGCTGCCACTATGCCGGTCTCTTTCGACCAATTCATTTTTTCGCAATTTCCGACGACAGGCCTTCCGGAACGTGGCGTATCTTCGACCACCTCTACACCAGAACGAAAACGTTGAAACCATCGTTGTGCGGTAGAAATGGAAACGGGCCCATAAACTGCACAAATTTCATTGGCGGGTTGAGATGCAGTTTTGCCTTTATCGTAGTAGTACTGTAAAATATGCCGAATTTTCTCTTTATTTTGCTCCATGTTTGCGACGCTATAACTCACGAACGACTTAAAAGAAACGACAATCAATCAAACACTTGTTAGCGCGTGAAATGAGCGTTCCAAAAAGGTATAGCATGACCCGATGCGACGAATAAAACTTGAACTACGCGCTCTCAGCGCCAACTGAAAATACCGCAAGACTTTTTTGACAAACTATTATATACTTATAATTCATGTACATATGTATATACGTTTAATAATATCTAAGCCGCTTGTGCGGCGTGCAGAAACCGCACAAATTACGGCTTGCAGCCGAGGAATGCAACGAAGAATGCGTCGTGTCATTTGGGCGCCTGCTTCTTCCCGCCTCTTTAATTGGCTAATAATAGTGAATAACCGCTAAAACCGTTAGAAACTATACCAATCAGCTAGATTGGCGTATAGAGTTATCTTTAGATAGTCTAAAAACTAGTTTTAGCGCGTTTCTACTTGCTTCACTTAATGAAATTCTTATCCAATTTTGCTTTTGTATTTTAATTATTTGGTTAGTGGATCATATTTACGCTCTTGGCGCTCTTCGTTTCGATTTTTGGCGTTTTCAAGTGATTTTACACACGATTTCGGCTGCGTGTGAAATGTGCCAGTCGGCACGTCGTTCATTCGGCGTTTCTAGAAGATTCGCCGCGCCTGATGCAGCTTTGCTCTTACGCTTCATTGTACGCTTACTTATTTAATTCTTAACAATCGTGGCTACACAAAGTGCACGCAAACGCTATTCGGTACCGTTTTGTTTTGTTTTCCTCTTTTTTTGGCGTATATGTTTACTTGGTAGCGTAGTATTTCAAAAAAATATATTGAAATTGCAGCATTTTTTGTTTTTGCGTGAAATACGATTATTTTCCATTGAGAGTATTTATTGCTTATTGAACAGGTGACTAGATTAGATTAGATTAGACAAAGCAGGTGTGTAATTGTTTTGTTGCAGCAATTCAAATGACGTCTCAAGCAATAAAGGGGCATGAGTAAACATATAGTACATTAAAACTTGTATGTATGGATGTGGGTATAGAGTAGAGAGTGTTTATTCCAATTCTGTAAATCCTGTCGCTTATTGGCATAATTGTTGTTTCGCTATTTTTTGACACTTGATTCACAATTTTATAACTGTATGAGCTGGCAATGGATTAAAGTTTGAAAAATTGTGGGTAATTAGCTAAATATAGATATTAATCTCACGGCCAGAGTGACAACAGTGGCAAAAAGTTCTATAAAAAATCACGAAGCTAAATGAATACTTGAAAAATAGTTTCACTATCATACTATATTAATTTAAAAGAAATATATACCGTTATGTTTGACATGTTGAACCGCAGGAAATGTCGGAGATCTTATAATTTAATTAAAATTATATAAATTAAAGTATATATGTATGTATGTAAATGACCAGCAAGATATACCGAGTCGTTTCAGCCTTCTGTCTGCCCGACCGTCTGTTTATGTATGTACATATATGTAAGCGAAGGGACTAGCTCAATTTTTGAGTTATCGATCTGAAATTTTCTACACAACCTTCTCTTCCCAAGCAGCTGTTCACTTGTCGGAATCGCCGATATTAGACCAGTATAGCATATAAAAGTTATACAAACTGAACGATCGGAACAAAATGCTTGGATGGAAAACCTTTTTTGTTGGATAAGTCTGACGGATAAAAAATCAAGATAAAGATCTAGGAAGCCATTAGAGGGTATATATTATAAGAAATGGGTAAAGAGTGTTATAGTTTTGATACAGACAAATTAATGGGGTTTCTTTGTTTTTATTGGAAATAATTAAATTCTCTAATTTATTATAAATCAGTTTGAAAAACAAAAAAACAATTTTGTTTCTTTTAGTATTGAATTTGGTCACGAGGTAAAAAATAAAGTTTCAGATATTTTATTTAATTAATTTTGTACCAAAAAGTTATTACTGAAACAGTTATTTATGATAAAAACAAAATTATGAAATTAAAATTTTTATGAATTTTCTAAAACTTACATAAATTTAATGTAAAAAATCTTTGTTGTTTTGACAAAAAATTCTCTTTTTTGACAAATAATAATTTGTTTTGTCTTAAAAAATTAAACAGCTATCACTGTTTTTTGTTTTTTTTTTTTAAAGAATTCGTTTGTTTTATTTTTTTGAAAAACAGTGATTTTATTTTTGCCTTAAAACAAAGAAAATAATTATTTTTGCTTTTTTTTTTTTGAAAATTTTGAATAAAATTTCTACCACTAACCACTGTACATTGGCGAATATTTACTAATGACAACAACAACAATAGTAATTATATGAAACCTTTATACTAACGATATTAACCATAAATAATGATAAATAGTATAAAAATAGGCATTCAGTTGTACTTTCGCTAAAACAAAAGCAACAATTATCACTTCTTCTTGCCGCGTGCTATAGAAAGTGTCTACCAATTAGCTTAGCATCGTACTAATTGCATGTAGCGCGCATTATACCGTATTTACAGCCACGTGTTGCCATCGATTATGCAAATGCATTCGCATTTCTAATATTTTTTTCAAATTATTTGCAAAGCAAAATTAATTCTAATGCCAAAAGCAAACGACAATTTGAGGCATTTCGTAAGAGTCGCGAATCGTTTAAATTAAGCGTGTGAACGTGTTGAAATTAAGGAGCTTTGTGCGGCAGCGTTTCGTTGACTCGGCTAACGACTCGAGAAATAACGCGCGCAGCCGAGCACATTAGGCTAATTAGCACAATTTAACTTAAATATATGTTTTTTGTTATAACAAGGTAATAAAATATTTTATAATTAAAATTTGCTAAATAGAAACCTTTTTCAATGGGTTTAAATGGTCCTTTTTGATACAAAAAGATACTTTTGACTTTTCAGTGAGTAATATACATACGTAAAATACCTATAGGAGTATATATGTACATATGTATGTATAAATGCGGCATAAATTGTCTAATAAATTTTTTTTACCTAAGCGTCATAGGATGAGTGTACAAAATTAGTTTATATTTTATTTAGTAAAAGTTAGTGTGGTGCTATATGTTACAGGGCTTCGTTTTGAAGAATATCTTCAGAGCTTGGAGCACTACTTTGGGTAAAAATCTTGGTAAGATATCTTGTGAAATAAAAAAGTTTTCCATACAAGGACAGCTACATATATGCTGCAGTGGTCCGATCTGTTTTTAGAGGCTGTAGCAGTACTTTGGACAATAATCTCTGCCGAATTTCGTAAAAATATCTTCTAAAAAAAAAAGTTTTTGATCTGATATCGGCGGTACTGACAAATGAACAGCTTGTTGAGGAGAAAAGAACGTGTACAAAATTTCAAATACTTAATGGTCAGTAAGTTTCAAATTGTAGTAGAAACCTACTAGCTCACCAAACTTACACACAGTGAGCGAAAGCAAGGGTTATATCTGCACTTTGAAATAATATAATTCATTTAGTATGTACATACATATGTATGCAATATGTCTCACTTAAACATTGCATTCCACTTACATTATATTTTACTGTTTACAACACAAGCCGTTTAAATACATACATACATATGTACATACATGAATATAGTTCACATAAATATGTGTATATGGATATGTGCTTTAGCTGTACATTGGTCCTGCATTTAATCTGACCTAAAAATGTACAAACATACACATACAAAGCTGTATACAGCACTGCAAACACGAGGAACCACATTTCCGAGCCACCCTACGCCCCAAAAGCGTCAATAAAGCCTCGCTATCTTCGCAAGTACATACAAACCTACAGTGTTGTTGCACATACATAAATACCCAAAGCATCCACTTTATAACTATTCTTTACATATGCAAGTATGAACTTGTATGTGTGTTTGTGCTACTGCTATTGTCCTTCGTGTCGTTCGTTTACTCACCTTTAGCCGTTTTGCACAGGACAATGCCGAACCATGACGTCATCGGTGTTTCGTTTTCATCCTGCGCTCGCATTGCCAGCTGCAGCGTCTCCTCCTCCTCATCTTCCTCATCATTATTGACATCCAGATCGTACTCATCGACAACGCTGCCACCGCTGCCGCTACTATTGCTACGTAGCGTACGCTTGTTATGGCTGGTGGTGGGTTTCATATTGCTGCGCACCTCCACAATGAAGCCGCACTCGACGACGGCGCAGAAAATTCGCTGCTCATCGCGTTTGAACCATTTGGATTCGCGCAGCTTTTGCACTGCCACTGAGCTGCCGAAAGTCGACGTCTTGCTGTGTAGATGACCCAACAGACTCAAACCACTGGCGGTGCTGGGACCAGCGCTGACACAACCCCCACCGCCGCCGCCGCCCACACCACCGCCACCACCATGCGCTGCATGATTGGACTGATGGTTGTGACCCTGCAGTGGCCACCACTTGAGCGCGTTCACAAAGCTGTGCGAGCGATTTATGTTTGTGGCTGTTGCACTTGTCATTTTAAGGCTTTTACTGCCGTCCGCTCCTCGGCTGCTGTTGCTGCTGTCGTTGTCACTGTCCCGTGCACCTTGATGCGTTTGCTTGGTGGCGAATATGGAGCCGATTCTGTGGTCAGTGCTGACTGCCGTGTGGTTGGCTAAGCGTAAACAACAATTTGCTGCACCCAATGTAGCGATTTGGCTTGCGAAATGCGCGGAAAATGCAAAATGTGCAAAAAAAAAAACAATTTTTTTTGTTGTTTTTAAATGCTTGCTAATTTGCTTTGCAGTGTGTTTTCAGTGTACGCTTTTTGCTTTTGTGACTTTCACTGCTTGTTTTTCTTATGTTTTGCAATTAAATGTTTTTCTACAAAATTTTCACTGAATTTTGTGTTGTTTTTGTATTTTTTGTTTTTTACAAATTGCAGTTCGTTGCGTGTCGCACGCACTTTTTCTGGTTTCTATTTGTTGTAGCTAACTATTAGCCAAAGTTTGATTTCTAATACGCTAGTATTTATTTTTGTTTTTGTATGACAAAAAACGCTAGACACACTAAAATGCACTTTGGTTGTTTTCGTTTTGCAGTGGGTTAGTTTAAATTTGTTACAAATTCTCTGTTTAACCACAAAAAATTTGTATTTTATATTTTCTTTGATAAATCTCAAATTTATTTCACAAAAAATATTTCAACAATTCTGCTTATTTGTCGTAAATTTTCGCAAAATAATTCACTTAATTGCGCTAAATTCAAATTCACTTCTGCTCGGCAAGAGACCTAAAAGGCGAATACCAGCCTGCAGCGCTGCATGTGTTTATTTAAAGCCGGTTTGACGCGCTCGCTCTCGCTTGCCGCTTTGTGCCACGACGCAGCGCGAGTTTACCTATGGTGTCAATTGTTTCTCTTATCTCAACTTGGCGCATGACTCCCCTCACCAAAAGCACTTGGCTCCACTCACCAGCTACAGCAAGATTTTTGTGTAAATATGTGCATGCTTGTATATATGTATATACAAATATTTACATACGTACATGTGCCTTTAAGCGTGGTGAATACTTGTATTTATTAAACTCTTTGGCGGCCGTTGAAGACGTACGAAAAATCAAGGGAGAGCGAGAGTTGAGTGCGAGCGTTGCAGCTGAAGAGCGACGAAAACATACAATTTACTGCTTTTGTAGTTATTAAGTATATACATTATTACATACAAATATACATAAAATACTTACATGCATATATACATGCATGCCTACTCATATTCATGCATATATACAAACATAAATACAATTATATACACACAAACGTAGGCACATATAGTATTTAGCAAATGAATTCGAGCAATTTGTCGTATACCCACATAATGTGGATTGTTTTTGTTTTTGTTATTGGAGACAAAGTGTTAATTATTTATTTTTTCTTATAATCTCCATTATCTTTTATTATCAGCACATTTATTAACCCACTCATTTTAGATATGTAAACTCTTTGATTTTTTTCATCTTTTATGTTGTATTGACTTTTCGATGCGTAGTAATGACATTTGCTTGACGTTCATTAGAATTTGACTGATGCACTTCAAGTAATTTCACTAAATTTAATTTATGCTTGAAAATTATTTGAAAAGTGTACTCATATAGACTTTCATAAGTGTTCTTGACCTACCGAAACAAATATTAGGTCCTGACCTAACCCATTTGAGCTCTAGCGTTAAACGCCGTTATTGAAATCATGACTCTCAGCGAATCGAACAAATATTAGAAATGTGTTTATAAATATGTACGAAAATGAGATTGAGCATGCCTGAGTGATAGCTGGTTGACAGTTTTTTTTACTGACAATTATTGGCTATTAACAGCCAATTTTTCTCTCGTTATAATTTTTATGAAGCAAGCCAACAAGTAAAGTAGCTTGAAAAAAAGAAAAAAAATATTTAAAAGAACAACTTGAAGGTTTTTTGTTTACAAAAATTTTTTTGACACTCAAAGCACTCATAAAACATTACCAGTATACCGTTAATTGCACTAAAAGTAGATTTTTTCGTGAACTGTTAACAACCTGTGTACAAAAGACAAAGAACATTGAGAGCCGAAGATTAATATCAAAAAGTAGGAGAAGATGTTTAAAACATCTTTAAAACCTCTAAGAAATAGTTTGCTTTTATGTTTGCAGGTTTTGAAAATTCTAGAACTAGTCAAGAAAATAAATAAATACCATGATTCCATAAATTTTTCTGGTAAAATCTGGTAACTTCTAAATGAGAAAAGGGAACTTGAAAATTCTGAATGAGAAAAATTAACTCTTTTCTAGTTAAATCTTGAAAATTGTGATTGAGAGAGAATGCTATTTAATCATATTTTTCCTCTAATCCGCCAGAGTATAGCTTACGCTTGCTCATCTGATAAATTCTAGTAAAATCTTGCAACTTCTGAATAGTCAAGAAAGAGTGCATTTTAACGGCTTAATGTTGTAATTTGTTGATATTTGATCGTTAATATAATTAGCTTGCGTTACTAAGTCTATGATCAGTGTATTAGAAAGATCAAACATTCGTATTAGAAATAGTCTTACTATACCAGTTGTATATTGTATGTAAGATATTTTGATCCTACTAACTTGTTTGAAACAATCACACAGAGAGAGTTGTAAATAGAGAGGAACGACACGAAGTTCTCTCGTAGCGAATGCTCAAACCTTGAACAGATATCTTTTATATACATTTGAAGAAATCGCTCAGTGAGAGTTGTAAAATGAGAAGACAAAAAGCTGTTCTCTCGCAGTCAATACTCAACCCCGGAATGAGATTTTATTTTGGAAAAAATAATGCTGGGATTTGAAAATGTATTCATTGAGTTACCGGAAATACTCATAACTAACAATTTTCGATGAATTGCCATTATTTGTAAGCCTTGGTTCATTCTTTCCCTTAAAAATTGTTTAATATATACTATACGTATACTTATAAGGTTTCAGTATATTAAGATGTTCAAGGCTTTTGATTTTGAACTGACTTTAAGTAATTTTTTTTTTGAAAAAAGTGGTAGATTATAAATTTTTTTAACCAATTTTTAAATTATTTCACTAATGAATTTATGAACTGTGACAGCTAAAGACCTAAAAAATAACCAGATATGATTTGTTGGAGTTCTCTTCTCTCCCCTCTACTGTCGTCGGAAAATTTAGAAATATTTTTAAATTAGCAGGAGCCTGCTGTCGTGTGGTCGTGCCGCTGTTCATAAGAACGTGTGTATTTTAATATTTGAGAGATGTATCTAGAAACCTGTCACTCTCTATGTGTTCAGCACATTACTCTTCAATCTCTGAAAAATCTCTCAGAAATGGCAAAATATCATTTATGATATCGTTGCCGTTGTCTCTGAGAGAAACTGTTTACTCATTTTTAATTAACGGAGATAGAAATATTTGAGTAAAAACGCTTAATTTTTCGGAAAACTGTCGTTGAAGTGCCAGAATTTTTGACAGAAATTTTCTCAATCGAAATTCCTTGACATTTCACCCTCAATATCGATCATTATGTGAGATATATAATTGAAATTCGGAAAAAAGCTTTTCCTGAAGTAGTATGTCATGGGTTAAATCGGGTCAATATTTCCCTTAGTTCCCATATAGCTAACACAACGATTTTCGAACTTCCTGGCGCCTCCTTTCTAGTTAATTTCTAACATTTTTGCTTGATCTGCCTATTTTATTATGAAACAAAACTTACCAAAAAAATATATAGTAAAATAATTTTTAGCTATTCCATTCAGATATTACCTTAACATTTCATAATTCTCTCTATCTCTCCAACTATGCGATTTAATTTGTGTTTATGCAAATATCTATTCTTATATACATTCATTTATAGAAATTGAGGTTCAAAAATCGGTTTTACATTACCATAATTAAGTATGCAATACTTTATAATATATGAGCGGAAAAAGTGTAAACAACTTCGTGCTATAAATAGGTCTAAAATACATATTAGAATTTGATACGTTCTAAATATAAACGTCACATGAGCACTCTGGCACTCATTTACTCACCCACTTACATAATTGATAATTAATTTGCATTAATGCATATTCAAGTTGTGTGTGTGTGTGTGTGATAGTCGTTTACTTCTATATGTATATACAGAGTTATATATTATATACATTTAGATCTATGGCGCATGTTGATCTGCTAAGCACTGGTAATAGCCGGTCGAAACTTAAATGCGCTCGAGTTCGGTAAATATCTCACACAATTGTATCGAAAACATATTCAAAATCAATATTAAACAGAGAAGGCACTTTAATGAGCACAGTTGTAATCGATTTCATAATTATATTTGAATGTTATATTATAATGAGGCACTTCCGTTATATTGTTATAGCTTTCATAGTAAACACGAAGTGATTATGTAACTGTTGTTACAATCGGTTGTTTGTAAATAAAAAAGAAAAGAAGAATAAAGCCATTGAATTAATCAAAGGGTTAAAGTTATACGGGCAGATCTGGCGGTGCTTCTAGTTATTATTTTAGTTTGATTTGTAATACCTACATACATAAATGGAAACTATATAGGGATATGTGGCATATATTGGGAGATCCATTTCGAGGCTCCGTACTTTTTAAAGAAAAAACAAAGAAACTTCAAATTTAATGGGGAATGTTTATTATCATTCGAAAGGAAATTCTTTGACATTCATTTTTTGGAAAAATATCTCTTTCAAATGTTGGCCACGGCTACGTCTCAGAAGGTCCGTCCGTTGAGTCCAATTTTTGATGACTCGTTAGAGCATTTCGACTGGTAACTGGCGAATGACACGCGTGATGTTTTGCTCCAAGGCCTGAACCAAGCGGAATTGTCCGTAAATACTTAAGACTTTACATATCTCCACAGAAAAAGTCAATCGAAAAAGCGACACCGAAGTGTGTTCTCTCAATGGATCAATTGATTGATGCCATGTGTGGGAAGTGGCGCCGTCTAGTTGAAATGCCGGCGAGATCTTGAGCTTCAATTTCAGGCTTCAAATAGTCGGTTATCATGGCAAGATAATCGGCATAATTTTTGAAGAAATATGAAGCGATGATTCCACTATCCCACAAATCACACCAAAACTTTGTTTTTTCTGGCTGAAATGACAGCTGTTGAATCTTTACAAGTTGATCTTCGTATGAAATGCGGCAATTTTACTTGTTTACAAATGCCTTGAGCCGGAAAAAATCATCGCTGAACAAAATTTGGCACGAAAACGTCAGATCTTCTTGGAACTTATCAAGAGCCCATAGGGCGAAGCAATGTCGCTTGGGAAGGTCGAGCGTCTTCAGTGCTTGCACAAGTTGTATTTTACAATTAAAACGTCGGATCTTCTTGGAACTTTTCAAGAGCCCATAGGGCGAAGCAATGTCGCTTGGGAAGGTCGAGCGTCTTCAGTGCTTGCACAAGTTGTATTTTGTACGCCTTCAATAATAAAATGAGCCAAGTCGTTCCATACGTCAATCCGAGTTACTGTGAACGGCGCCGAATCGACTCTCTACGGTCTTCGTGACGGCTCTCAGCTATGGGTGCTATACTGCTTGCTGGATGTGGTCCATTCGGTCGAATATTATCCAATAATGAATACCGTTTACTTCACTATCTTTTACAAAGTTGTAACAATTCTTATGCCACGACAGTATTTTCGATTTAGTTAAACTTGCTTGCACATATAAGTCACTTTGTATTTATGGATAAATATTTTATAATTAACATAAGTACACAACCATATAAATGTGTACATACAAAAATCAATGCACCATTCATGTATGCATTCATGATCT